ATTTTCATATCCGCCCGACGCTGAACGTTCAACCCCGGTGCGATCGCGACTCTGCTCAAAGCCGCTTTACAGCGAAGGACAAACGAGGCTGGTATTCCTATTAATTTCACGACACCACCCCGCATTTTTTCTAATAACACATCAGGGCACCCCCGCAACCCTGCGGAGGACCAAGTCCGAAGGAATAAATTATTAAAAAAGGGCGGCGATATTCCTATTAATTTATTTCGCGCGCGCGAGTCGCACTCGCACACCGCACCGCACCCCACCCCATTTTTCTTTTGCAATAACACACCTCACTCAGGGCAACCCCGCAACCCTGCGGCGGCCCGGGCTCCTGCATATGCATTCTGCATCTCGCATGTCGCCGCATGACTCAAACCCCGGATCTCCCTCCCCTCGTTCCACCCATCCCCATCCCCATCCCCGTCGACAACTCGGCACCTTCCGAAACGGGGTCCAAGCTCTTCAACAACTTTAAATTACATCCCGAGTCTGTCTTACCACGACGCATAAAAGTCCCACGCAAATTTAAACCATGAGTCCTCGAGTCGCACGACGCAAATCCCCCCGTCGGGCAAATTGGCTTCGCTTCCACTCCTAACGACCATAATGATGCAATGATGATATCGTCGATTTGCCCGCGAATCGTGAATCGCGAATCTGCAATCGGGGATCATCGTCCTCCATTACAGTAATACATATCACGAATCGGGGTCCGCCCTACATAGTATGTAATCTGGATCGTCGCCACCGCTTAGCCTCGCCATTTATTTGAGCTTAGCGGTTTTGAATTTGACGCGACTCAAAAAAAAAATACGCGGTACCCCTATTGGAATAGTACCAAGGCTACGGTCATGGCAATGGCAAAGTCGCCCGATTCCCGATGCCCGCAGCCCGCAGCCCGAGCCAGTGGCCACAGGGCCCCGCAAAACGTGGCACTGATCGGAGCCGCCCGTCCCGAATCTACGGATCCACGGATCCAAGCACTGAAGCAAGACGCCAATCTCGGAAACCCTGGCGCCCGCACGCGCCGCATGCGCATATCACAACTCTCACTCGACTCTTTTCCTGGGCCTGGGTTGCGCAGTTCGACCACATTCGAGTCTGCAAACCAGCAGATGCCTGCCTGCCCATACGCGTCACTTGCGCATAACTCTCGCAAAACGCAAGTCACTGGTCAGAACTGAAAAACGAAACACCATCCACGGCCATCATCCACCAACGACTACTGTATTAAACATCATCATCATCATTCAGAAAAAAAAGAGAGAGAGCTATGGGTAACGGGTCCTCGCCATTCTGGCCGCGTACGTATGGTGTATGTAGGTAGGTAAGGGGCGAATAATAACTGGCGGCCGCGAACGGGTGGATGGGTGGGTGCGGATGCGGATGCGGATGCGGAATCGGAGTCGGGAGGGTCCGATCGCGCAAAGGCGGGCGGGCGCGTTGAGCATTAAAGACACTGGAAGGGAGGGAGGGATGTGAGTAGGGGTTTGCGGATCGCGGAGACGAGAAAGGGAGACGGAGGGCGGAGCAAAGGAGTAGGTGGGCAATGGGCAATGAATGGGAGAGGCACGGGGAAGGTAGCGATAGGATACGGAACAGGAAACGATGCATCGTCAAAGGAACAGAAGGGGTTAATGGAAGGGAGTGAGGTGACGCAGAAGGTAAGGCCAGCGGGAAGGCGCGTATACATATGACAAAGGGAGGGGGAAACGGCAGGGAAGATCGACGAATGCGCAGCAGGCGAGTACGGAAGGACAGCATTCATGGAACGAACGGGAGGGGCGCAAGGCGGGAACAGACAAGGATGGAAAAGGAGGGATGCGGACCGACGGAAGGGAGGACGGCGGACGGCGGAAGGCCGATCGAGTAAAGACAGACGGGGCAGCAAAGAAAGGGAGCAGCGGCATTGTGGGGAAATATGAAGAGGGAGGCATTGTGGGGAAATGAAGAGGCGTCGTGAGGAAATATGACGAGAGACATTGTGGGGAAATGCGAAGGGGGGACGGTGAAGGTGTCGGCGGGGCGGGGCGTGCGGACGATGGAACGGCGGGGAAAGTAAGGAGGGGCGGAGAGGGAACGGGAACGGGAACGGGCGGGGCGTGCAGACAATGGAATGGGAAAGTGGACGGACGACGGTAGACGGAGAACGGAGGAAGGAAGGAAACGAAGCAAGGGATGGCGCGTACGGTACACAACGAAAAGGGGATGGCGCGTAGCGCCGGGTGGAGAGCGCGGCGAGAATGTGAAGAAAGGTTGTAGGCACGCAGCGGCACCACCTCATCCCGCAAGTCCAGAACGAAAGAGAGCGAGAGAAAGAAAGAACAAGACCCACCGCCCCGCCCAGCTCCTGGCTCTTCGTGTTCATGATGAGCGCAACGATGAGCCCGTACAGCCCGAGCACCTCCGCGAAGATGAGGATGAGGATCTAAAAGGGTGGATTAGTAAGAGGTTGAGGAGGGAGGGGGAGGAGGGAGAGAGAACGACAATGAGGGGAAGCAAGAGTCGATTCGGACGACGCCGACAGCGGCGCCCACGCCCCGCAAAAACGGGTACCACCCCTACCCCGCGCCCGCCCTGAACGAACGACCGCCGGGCGGAACTGGAGCGCGGGCTCCACGCCACACATCCGTGACGCGCCTCCCCTCTCCGCACCGAGAGCCTGGAACGCAACGTGCTCCCCAACGGCGACGACGCCCCATTCACACGCACACACGCCTCAGCACGCACGAGGCACCCCGCGACACGAACACGAACACGAACAGCCCAGCCCGATAGCCAGTTGAGCGGACAACCGCGCGCACTTGCACTCGCACCCCGTCCCGCAACGACGACGACGCACACGCACACAACGCCCAGCCCGACAGCCGCTGAGGACAAGACCCGCCCGCCCGCCCGCCCGCACCACCCCGCCCCGACGCACACACACGCACACCCCGTCCGCGCCCCAGCCCAACCCCGCCCCGCACACGGGAGATACGCCGACCGATACCAATCAAGGAAGAAGAAGGAAGACGGGCGAAGGGTAAAGGGCATCGCACCCGCGCGCGGCGCGCACCACAACGTCCACGCGCACCAAAACAACGTCAACGCGCCATCCGCTCAGCCCGCGCTCGACATTCGACATTCGACATTCCACATCCGTTTCGCGCTCGACATTCATTCGTCCTGGGCGTCGGCGCCTCTCGTAGCCCTCGAGCTCTCGCACTACGCGTATCGAGGCACCGGAGCCCGCCCTCATGCGTGCGCATGCGCACAAGAGGGCGCCCGAGTTCCCAAGACCACATCCACAAATGCGCGGATTCGACCCCCGGGCGTTGCACCCCTCCGGGAACACGATGATCGATCGCCCGACCCCAACCACCTCGCCCCCGTGAAAGCACCCCGCTTGGCAAACCCCCTCCGCCCAAAAAAAAACAACACAAAACGCCCCAAACTCACCATCCCGACAAACAACCTTGGCTGCTGCGCGGTGCCCCTAACGCCCGCGTCGCCGACGATGCCGATGGCGAAGCCCGCGGCGAGGCCGGCGAGGCCGACGGAGAGGCCCGCGCCGAGCTGGACGAAGGATTGGGCGAGGGACATTTGGACGGATACTGTGTTTTTTTTTTTTTTTTTTTGGGGGGGGGGGGGGGAAGGGAATTGGGGGGTGGAGGGGGGAAGGGAGGGTGGGGAGGGGTGGAGGGGAGGGGAGGGAGTGGGGAGGGGGTGGAGGAAGGAATGGGATGTTGGGCAAAGAGGGAGGGACGCGAGCAAGCGGGGAGGGGTAAGAGGGAGGGGAGAGGTTAAGGAGGGTGGGCGTGGGTGAGGAAGGGTGGGAGCACGGGAGGGAGGGGTGAGGGAAGATGAGGGAGGGGAGGGTATAAGGATGGGATGAGGAGGATAAGTGGGTGCAAAGGGCGGGAGGTAGATCAGGGCAAGGATAGAGTCAGGGACGGGTGAGGGAAAAAGGAGGATGGTATGCGAGGCGAGGAGGCGGCGGCGGCAAGTGGCGGATGAGAGGTGATAGCGCGGGACGGGAGGGGGAGACGCAGGAGCGGAGGAGCGGGTAAGGCGAGATAGCGGGCGGACAAAACGTAAGAAAGGGAAGCCAGCACATCAGTCGAATACAGTAAGGGCGGCCGGTCGGTAGGACGCAGGAAGATGGAATTCGCAAGGACGCAAGAGCAAGACCAGAATATGAAAAGAAAGAAAAGCAAAGCACCCGTCAGGACACGAAGAAGAGGGGAAGGAGGGACGCACGGTCAGTGACAATGAGGACCGAGACGACGAGGCCGTAGATCTACAATGGATGGATGGCTGTCAGTCACGTTCGAGTCGGGCGTCGGGCGTCGGGCTCCCCGCATCCCGAGCACAGGAGAGACACTGACAGCGATGATACCCGCCATGATGACGGGCACGACACACTTCATCATCTGGTCCGGGCGCAGCACCGACATCGCCGCGATACCGACCCCGGACTTGGCCGTGCCGTAGCTGCACATCCTCGTCAGCACGCACAACTCGCAGCCAAGCAAATGGGAGGGGGACCTTGCTCCTATGCCTGCGGCGCGCAGTCAGCGTTGTGTTGTGCGTGCATGAGAGGGGAAGGGAGGGGAGACGCACAGGTAAAGACGATAGCGCTGGTGCAGCCCTGCGTACACACGAGTCGGTCGGTCGGTCGGTCGGTCGTATATTTATTTAAGGGAACACTGACCATGACGCTGAAGAACGGGGCGTAGACGGGGCAGAGGTCCGACATTTTCTTTTCTTTCTTTCTTTCTTGGCTTCTCAGTAAAGTCGAGGAGAGTAGAGTATAGAGCAGGAGAGGAGCGAGCGAGCGGCGAAGAAGAAGAAGAGCGGGAGGGGCGACGTTGACGTGTTGACGTGCGGCGGGCGGTTTAAATAAATGTAAATAGTCGACTTGAACCACTTCACGTGCTGCGTCTTTGCTTGTGGACCCTATGAACTGACTGACCTAGGTCACATATCCAAAGCCGAGCAGGAGGGAAGAGGGCCCAGTGGTGTACTGCCAACACATCCTCTCCCAATTTGCACTTTTCTGTTTGGAATATATGAGGAAGCACCCCGTTCGACTCGGGGCTGGGCCATGTGCATGGTCTTACGTCCACTTTTTTTTTCACCCAATGTTTCCTCCTTCCCTTGCACAAAATCAGCATGAGTCCCTACATAAACCTTACTTCGCACGTTTTGGCGGCCATATGCATAGGTGTAGCAATCCGTTCTCTCAATTTTGGCCCTTGAAAAATCTCACTGTGCTAACTTGAAATCCCATCGAAACTGTTCTCACTTGAACAGACTACACATTCAATGCTGAGCAAGAGGAAGAAGGCCCAGTGGTGTACCGCCAACACATCCTCTTCAATTTGTGTGCGTGTCAAGTTGATAGTCAGAGGAAGCACCCTGTTCGATTCGGGGCTGGGCCGTAATTAAGGCTGGGGGTGCCTATTTTTTTTTGGCCGAGTCCAACTTTTTCTCCTTCCCTTACACTAGTGTAAAGCGAGCATGAGTCCCCACATAAACCTTACTTGGCACATTTTACCGGCTGGCCATAGGTGTCAGTAAACTGATGTGAAATCCCTTAGTCTCTTAATTATAACAGACTACTACTCCCTCGCTCGCTCATTCCTCGTACCTTGGCCCTCGAAAGACGCTAACTCAAAATCCCATCTCACTTGAACACACTAACCTACGTTACACATCCAACGCCAAGTAAAAGGAAAGAAGACCCAGTGGTGTACCACCAACACATCCTCTTCAATTTGGGTGTGACAGCAGAACAGTCTGAGGAAGTACCCTGTTCGACTCGGGGCTGGGCCGTGATTCTCTTGGATGAAACCCCATTTTTTTTGTTTCTCCAACTTTTTCTCCTTCCCTTACACTGGCGTAAAGCGAGCATGAATCCCTACATTTAACACATTTTACCAGCTGGCCATGGGCGTACCAGTCTGTTCTAGCGGCTGTCAACGCGGGTTGAAATTGAAGAGTCGAACTTGAACTTGAGAGCTTGAGCCGCTAAACTCAAGCAAGTCAAACACACTCAGCCCGGAATTTGGCCATGGAAATCTTCAGACGGAGACACCGCCCTGCTCTGCTCTACGCCGCCTGGGAAGGAAGTCATGATCATGATCAAAACCCGGGCCCCGTCCTCTTCACGCCGTACATGTACACGGTACACCTCCTCGCCTCCCCCTCCCATCTCCACCGCGGGCTCCGTCCCCGGCGCCAGCGCGCACTGGCACCCGTCCCGCCATCCACCCTGGTCGAGTCGGAGTCGTGATTGATTCCAGACTCCGGAGACCGGGATGGGGCAGGGGCGAACGCGCTGGCGCACTGGCAAGTCGCGTTTAAGAAAGATTCGGTGTCGGTGGGGCGCCAAAACGAATGCAAGCGGCCGGATCGGAACTGGAGCTGGAGCTGGAAATTACTGGAGCGCGGGGAGGGAGGGAGGAGGTGCCATGGTAGAAAACGCACATCATTATCACGGCGTTCCGAAAGGCGGCCCTGCGGCAGACCTCGTCGCCTTACGACGGAGTGGCCTCGGCACAGTCTGCCGCCATCGCTCCGCGGACTCCGTAGCTCGGCAGGGCTGCCGCTAGGCCGTGGCCGCCTCAAACTCAACCCACAACGTGATCGTGTCGACTGCGTCCGACTCTCTAGAGCTTACCGTTGGTTGCCAGGCTTTGTACGCAGGTCAGTGAGTGATAGAAAAGAAACGAAAGAAAGTAGGGCACGGGATTGGATTCCGACATCAGTGATAGTCGGACATAGAGAATTCTAGACCGCAAAGCCGCGCGCGTTACGAACGAATCATAGTGCTCATCTCACTGTGGGATACTCCCGAAAATCTCGAATCGCCAGTCTCTACTCTCGTATTTTCACCAAGAGTCGCTTGAATGCGAAATGATGTGTAGGGCAGCTCGATTGTGAGGCGACTTGAGGCCATGAGAAACGCGAGGATCAAAGTCAGAGGCAAAGAATCGATTTGTTTGTGCCCACACATTCCTTTTTTTTTTTTTTTTTTTTTCTTTTGTGGTACGATATCAGCGTCGACGCAATTAACAATGGGTTAACCCGCCGGGCTGCGTAAGCTTGAAGGGGTTTTCGACCTTCGGATAAGAGAAAAGGGACCACACCCAAGGTAATGCATTTACGCACACGGCATACTGCCGTAGTGTGGGACTCAGAGCACAGATTTACCTGTTCCTGCCACGCCTTCCAGGGATAGGGGACGGGGAACGGGCTGATCGTCTCGGCACAATACCCACTAAAACCTTGGGTTCTCGTAGCCAATCTTTTGGCAATTTTGCTTCCTCATTCAGTGTGAGGCTCCAGGTTTGGAGTACAAGAGAGGGGGTTACAAGTTTCCTCTTCTGATATTCCATGTCACAGACAAGGAATTTATCTATTTCAATACGATCGTTTACCACATGGACCCAACGGTTGTGGATCTCAGTCTCGGAGTGGGGTCGGCCTTCGCGGCCGATCACTCTTTCACAGCGGACTTTCCATATCAAGTATATAGACTCGGTGATCAAGATCCGGAATAGCCGGTTGATACCCGACGGCTTCAGATTGCTCTCAGCCTCAAACGCTGCCATGCAGCAGCCCAGAAGGACCCCCATCGTCAATGTGGGGAGTTGACCGTGCTTCTTCCCCCACAGCTCCTCCACAAGTTTCCAGACCTCAGATTGGCCTGGGAGGCTACATTCGAGGAGGATATGCTCAAGAGATTCAACAACGCCGCAGTGCTGACATGTGGCGCGCTCCTCATAGCCCGGGATGTTCGTCCAGAATTTTCCAACTCGATGTGCACCGTGGATACTCTTCCATAAAAAGGTTTTGATTTGTCGCGAGATGTCCTTATGGCGAATGGACTTCCAGATTTTTGCGGGGGTCGGGAGGGTCCCCCAGGAAGCTTTGCATGCCGTTTGGATCAAGGAGATGTTTTCGGCTGTGGTTTTCCTATTAGGGGTGATTTTCTGTTCCTTGATTGCTTTGTATGCTAACGCTTGGGTTAGAGTAGCAAGTTTTGCGCCACGTAATTCCGCGGCAGCGGGGATTACCAGATGTGGTGTATATTGTACTCCGCTGGTGGCCCCCTCAATGGCGAGTGTCTTGGCTACCGACATAGGGAACGAGGGGGGTGACTTCTCGATCTTCTTGAAACGAGTTACCGCCATACGAGTTTTTAGGCCAGCAGCTAAGGCTTGCAGAGGGGCGCGATCCGGTATGCCGATCCAACCATTATTCTCCCACTTATTAATGTGGTTGCACAAAGCAAGGGCGATGGAATTACTATTGCACGCGATATGCAATTCGACATGGAGGGGGGTACTTTGTATGCAGTGGAGGGTAGCAATCGCTTCCGCATTAGATCGTGTTTGGGACAAATTTTGCGGGATTTTTAGGCTTTTATTTCTCGGGTCACCCTCTGCATACCAGATGCCAGCTCCCGCTTGTGCGTCTGCTTGTCCTTCATTATGGCAGAATGCACTAATGTTAGCTGTGATCGTATTGTCCAGAGTTTGGATCACGAGTGGGGGGTCGGGGGCAGTTCCCGCAGTTTCAGAAGACTTGGTGAAGACCCGAAAACCCTCGGTTAGTGATGCTAGTTTCGGAGGCGGACTAAATATCAATTCGTTTTCTGAAAGATTTGGCGGAGGAGGAACCACCTGGCTTTCGGGGATCTGTGGGTCCCACTTCGGGAGGATTTGACTCAATCGATTGCGTACAGCGAGGTGTGCCCACACATTCCACATCATTCACATCCCAAAATACAAGAAAATAATCAAAGCCTATTCAAGTTGCCTTTTTTTTTGCCGCCGTTGCTCGCGCGGATTACATACTAACGCTCCTTAAGATGCCTCCGCGTTCGCGTTGAACTGCGCGTAGGTCAGTTCCGCCGTTGGGTTGAGCGCGAAGGTCATGCCCGCCCCTGCGACGTGTCAAGCCGTTTTCACCGCAGTACGAAGCAGAGATGAGACTTACTGCAGTGGGACCCAGCACCCTGCATGCACGCAGCAAAGTGGGGCTCGTAGTCGACGACGGTGTACACGAAGGTGGGTGTGTCGGTGGCGGTGGCAGGGAGGCTGAGGGACGTTGAGCGGGTCTTCCCAGAGGGGCGGGGGACCTACAATCCAGAGTCCCAGCCGTGAAGGCCTACGCCGCCAGCGGGCGGTGGGCAGACTGCGCCCGAGAAAGTCGTGGTGGTGGACGTGTCTGTGTCAGTTCGCAGTGAGATATCATGTAAAGTTGTGAGTTGATATTGAGCGTACGGTTCTTCGAGACGCTGAAAGAAAAAACGTGAATAATAAGGCGTAGGTGTACGACCTGGGAGCTTACAAGATGAACGTGAGGGTATCGCCAATGTCAGCCGAAACCTGGGTGGGCGTGAAGGTCAACCCGTTGTTGGCCCCAACGGTAATGTTGAAGTTGGCCGCTAGGGCGACGGGGACGAGAGCGAGGAGGAGAGCTTTGAGGAACATGTTGTTGCTTAAGACGCGGAGTGAAGCTTGGAAATATTGGGGCCGTCGGCCATCGCTTTTATACGTTTCGTGCTGTTCACTTTTGGCCGAAAAGGGATCCTTGTTCAGCGACGGTAGAACGCCAATGAGAGCCGTGGAAAAGGAAACAAGGTCGGTGGAATCCACGAGGTCGAGGTTCATGCGAGACATTTCTGCTAGGCTCCGTGTACTTGGTGTGCTGCCCTGAGATTGGATCCCCGCTTTACTGCTCGAGTGACCTGCGAATAATAACTGGGGTCTTTCCCTTGAGCCCCGAGAGTCGAAAGAAATGGCACATGAGAAAGCGCTTCCGAGGAGTTCAACGGTCGCCAAAATGGCTCGCGTGTATTTTTGAGCTTGAGACGCTAGTTGGAGTCGGAAGCTCTGCTGATGGCCGAAGCAAACGCGCATGATGCGGAACCGCGAGAGTGGGGAGCCAGGGGCGCGGCTGCGCAGACCAGCAAATGACAATATCCATATTGTGCAGGAGTATGTCCGAAGATGTCCGAACCATGTGTGAACGTGAGAGGGTGGTTGAGAAAAATCAGATAAGATTACGTCCCGTGGTGAAATCCACTGTAACA